AGCAGGTCCACAAGCCACTGAAGAAAGCAGGTCCACAAGCCACTGAAGATAGCAGGTCCACAAGCCACTGAGGATAGCAGGTCCACAAGCCACTGGAGTGTACAACGGTTGTATGTTGACTGAGGAAGTCTTTTGGATGAAAGACGAAACGTTTCTACATTTTTTTTGTTTTGTTTTTTTGAATGTCCAGAGGACCAGATTTAACTTTTTTCGACTGAGATTAAGACTTTCCTTTTTGATAAATCCTATAGTTAGTGTCGGCTTGGGTTTCCTGAGCTGTCCCTTAGTTCTGCTGCTATAGACTTAGACTGCTGGAGGACAAACTGACCACACTGTTCACTCTACTACTGTCTTTACTTACTCTGCTCAACCTGTTTTGTATTTGTAATTATCTTTTCTATCCTTAACATGTGTTTGTTTTTTTGTCTTTCAGGGACACCTGGACCTATATCTGGACCTGGACCTTACATCTGCTTTTGACACCATCGACCACAAGATCCTCATTTCTAGACTGGAGCAGTGGGTGGGCATCACAGGGTCAGCCCTTAAATGGTTTGGGTCCTACCTCTCTGACAGAACCTTCTGTGTCAATATCAAAGATTTTAGTTCGGCATCGACAGCGCTCCAGTGGGGGGTACCGCAGGGGTCCATCCTCGGTCCCCTTCTCTTTTCTTTATACCTGCTGCCACTAGGTGCTATCTTCCGCAAACACGACATACCCTTTCATTTCTACGCCGATGATTGCCAAATTTACTTCCCCCTGAGGCACAGAGGCACACGCTCTATTCAGCCTCTTCTTGACTGCCTGGCTGACATCCGGGACTGGATGGCTTTAAACTTCTTAAGCTTCAATGAGAAGAAGTCTGAAGTCATGCTGTTCCATGGCTCACTCATGAACCATGACATTGACCTTTTCTCTCTAGCCCCGCTAGAGAAACAAAAGGTGACTAATCTGGGGGTGATAATGGACCCGTCCTTAAAACTCAACAGTCACGTAAACATGATGGTCAAATCCTGTTTTTTTCAGCTGAGACGGCTGTCTAAGCTGAAGCCTATACTCTCCAAAAAGAACCTTGAGACAGTGATCCACGCCTTCATAACATCTAGGCTTGATTACTGCAATTCACTTCTGTTAGGAATCAGTCAGTCCTCCATTGCTCGTCTACAACTGGTCCAAAATGCTGCAGCCCGATTTTTAACTGGTACAGGCTATAGAGAGCACATCACGCCAGTTTTGGCCTCCCTACACTGGCTACCCATTCACCTTCGGGGATCGCCGGTGCCCATGTCCAGCAATCACTGTGCGAGGGGCGGGGGACACCCTGGACGGGTCTCCAGTCCATCACAGGGACACATAGAGACAAACGAGACAAACAACCATTCACTCTCTCTCTCACACCTAGGGACAATTTAGAGTTACCAATCAGTCTAACATGCATGTTTTTGGTCTGTGGGAGGAAACTGGAGTACCCGGAGAAAACCCACGCATGCACGGTGAGAACATGCAAACTCCACCCAGAAAGGCCCCTGGACCGGGGTTTGAACCAGGGACCTGCTCGCTGAGAGGCAGCAGCTCTACCAGTTGCGTCATCGTGCTGCGTCCCACGTGATGAGAATGATTGACCGAACTTAAATTGTGTAGTACTCCTGGCGGCCGGCAGGGGGCGGCAGAGCGGCTGACTAAAAGCAAACCGAAGCAGCTAAAATTAACAGCAAAGCTAAAAGCTGTATATATCTATATCGATACTTTAATCCACTACTTTTAATCCAGTAGATAATCCGCATACTTTAAAATATTTTGTAAAAATGCAACCATGACAGTAGCCAGCATTAGCCACCTTAGCATCGTAGACATATTTATGTCTATTGTTAGCATCAGTTAGCTTTCGGTTGCCTAACAACCGACCGGAAGTACAACAAAACGGAGCGGCTGAGCTAACATATGCTAACAGGACCGAACCGACCGCGTTTCGGGTCCAACTAACCGTCCGGTTGTTCCACCGGTGAACTGCTCGGGATGTCGGAGGAGGCTCGACGCGGAGAGGAGGATGACCGCGGGCCCGGTTCGGTCCATCAGGTGTTCGTGGTGATGGAGAACCTCCTGGAGAAGTTAAAGGTTCTGAACTACGAGGAGGTTCTGTCCAAACACAACATGAAGAACCTCTCCAGGTGAGGACAGCTCTGGAAACTTCACGAAACAAAAACTTTTGTTCTTTTTTATGATCTGACCTCAAAGATCAAAGACTTTAAGAACACAAAAAGGCCTTTTATCTCAAATGTGTGTAAATCTGTTGGTGAGCACTTTATCCACGTGACACGTGAGTTTTAGGCTGCCCACAATAAGAGGCCGCAGTAAAATGTGCAGGTTTCTCACAGCAGGACGCCACAGATGTTGTAGGTTTAGAGGAATCTGGCCATGCTGACTGGTTTACGCTGACTGGTTTACGCTGACTGGTTTACGCTGAATTCATTTGATTTTTACCTGCAGGGACAATCAGGAGGTTCCGACCTGCAAACAGCAGCTGAGACTTGGGGGCACAAGTCTTATAATAAAATAAAGACCAACAGTTCAGACCAGTTCAACATGAAAGTATTGTTCTCTGTCTCTGTTGCAGCAGATCTTCTTTTATAAAGTCTGAAAGTTTCACACAGTTGTTTTTTCACCCTGTCCTCCTTGTCTTCTGTCCTCAGACATTACTTTGTCTCCAGTCCGTTCCTTGTGTCCAATCCTGGCGAGCAGTTCTACATGTTCACCATCATCGCGGCGTGGCTCATCAACGCGGCGGGGAGGCCGTTCGCCGAGCCGCAGGAGTACGACGAGCCCAACGCCACCGTGTCCAACATCCTGGCAGAGCTCAGGGCCATCGTGAGTCGACACCCTCAGACAAACGTCTCGGTTCCTCGGTGAGATCTCAGAGACTTGAAGATGTTTCTCTCTGCCTTCAGGGAGCGAAGGTGGACTTCCCTCCTTCCAAACTGAAGTCGGGTTCAGGCGAACACGTCTGCTTCGTGTTGGACCGTCTGGCTGAAGAAGCTCTGAAGAGGAGAGGTTTCACCTTCAGAAGGTTCTCCAACGTTTCTCCTCTTTTCTCCCGTGCAGATTAAAAACATTCTTGACTGTTTTAAGTTCCAGAACTCCGTCAGGTCGCCCTTCATGTTTCACCTGGCTGCGTTCAGCCTCCTGATTATGTCGTGAAGTTTTACGTTTAAACGTCAGTTGGGCTCCGTCACCACGAGGTTCAGAAGGTTTCATGGCAGGACGCTCCAGGTTCACACTGATACTTTGTTTCAGGCCCAGGTACCCAACAGAAAACACAGAAGAGGAGTCGGTGATGGAGGACGACGCCGAGCTCACACTCCACAAAGTAGAGCAGGAGATAATCGTGAGTTTTACTTTTATTAAACTGATTTGACCCAAAACGTTTCCGTCCTAAAAGATTAAATCAAAGTTTTTGTTTCGTGTAGCTTTGTTGTTCAAAACCCAAATGAATAAATGCAGAGCTCAGTTTCACGATCAGCTGCCGACAGAAACCAGTTGAACTTAACGTTTAGTTTAAATCGTTTGTAAGAAAATAAGGATTGTAGTGACGTCGTGTGTCGTCAGGAGGAAGCTGATGATGAGGAGGAGACCGTGATGGACCTGGAGGCGCTGAAGTTACGGACCGCTCACTCCGTGAGAAATACGATTTCATCTGGTCCACTTCCTGTCAGGTCCTTCACTGAGAACATTCTGCTGTCTGACAGGAACCAGAACCGTCGTCCAAACCCGAAGACATTCTGGAGTCCAAGGTGGACGCCGCCGAGTGGAACCTGGAGATGGAGCGGGTTCTGCCTCAGCTCAAAGTCACCATCCGGACCGACAACAAGGTGCGCGCTGCTGAGGCGTCCCGCAGGGCTTCCTGCTCTGCTGCTGCTCTAACTCTGGTCCCTTCATGTTCCTCATGTCCTGCAGGACTGGAGGATCCACCTGGACCAGATGCATCAGCACCGAGACGGGATCAAGTCATCGCTCACAGACACCAAGGTGCATTCACTGACCCGGTTCAGTTTTACTGCAGTGTTGTTGTTTTTTTAAACCGCTTTCATCAAGAAGGAGCTCAAATCAAGGCTTGAATCTGTGAGTGAGCAGTTTTCTGTCTGTTAGCAAAATATCTCCACACAAGATGTCTGTTTAAAACTTTGGTCAGTTTTACTTTAAACTGTCTCGCAGCAAACTTTAGAGTCCTGCTGCAGATGGAACCGAAAACACAAGATGGGCCGTAAATCTCGTCTCGGCTGCAGACCCAGTTTCTGGTCTGTGAGGTTCACGCCCTCCCTGTCTCCTCAGAGCTACCTGGACAAGCTGCAGGACGACGTCGGGAAGACTCTGGAGAAGGTGAGCAGCCGAGAGAAGTACATCAACAACCAGCTGGAACATCTGATCCAGGAGTACCGCAGCGCTCAGGCCAAGCTCAGCGAGGTGAGAGCACGACGCGCGCCCGACAATGAAACGGTTTCTTGAGCAGAAGAGTTAAAGATGAAGCGCTTCCTCCACCAGGCCAAAGAACGGTACCAGCAGGCGAGCGGAGGAGTGATGGAGAGAACCAGAGCCCTGGCTGAGGTCAGTGAACGCATCATCAAACAGGTTATACAGCTGCTTCTGAAATGAAGACCAAGCTTAGAAAAATAACTTTACAATGAGGTCAACTGTCGGATTAGACGATAAAATCTGTCAAAAATTAAACTGGAGGACGGAAAATAATCAAGTTTACAAGTTTTTCTTCAACAATCAGCCGAACGAGACGCTTTCTCGTGAATTTTCTCCTGAAACAAACTTCTTCACTCCGTCTGCTTAGACTTCACAAACCGTTTAAGTTTCAAATGAGTCTCATTTAAACACGTTAAATATTTTAGGGACTTTTCTGAGGAATAAAAATAATAAAAGTATTTATTTTGTAAAGAGCGAAGCAGAAATGCAGAGGATGAATCCTGTTGGGTGGATTTAATTAAAGTCTGAAGGACCGAGCGTCCACATGTTGATGAAAATGAAGCGATTCGTTTAATTCAGAGCCGAGGCTAAAGTGGAGGTCAGAGTTTCATGAAGTTTTTGAAACTCCAAGTCCTGACCTGGAAATCACGTCATCAGACACCAGCAGAACTCCTGCAGCTTCAGGAAACGACTTTGTGTTTCAGGTCAGCGAGGAGCTGGAGAAGGTGAAGCAGGAGATGGAGGAGAAGGGCAGCAGCATGTCTGATGGAGGTGAAGCAGCATTGGTCTCGATTTGCTCTCGGTGTTGTCCCATTGACCTCTGACCTGTTCCCCCCCGTGTGTCCCCTCTCAGCTCCGGTGGTGAAAGTTAAGCAGAGCCTGACGAAGCTGAAGCAGGAGATCGTTCAGATGGACGTGAGGATTGGCGTGGTCCAGCACACGCTGCTGCAGGCCAAACTCAAAGAGAAGTCCAACATGACCCGAGAAATGCACGCCGCCAGCATCCTGGAGGCCGCCGGCGCCTTCGGCTAGTGTCCACACGCGCTTCTGGACTTTGAACTGGACCTGACTGAGTACATAACAAAAAGTTTAAACCGTTCTCTCACTTGATCACTTATTATATTTTTATATTTAGTATTTTTTTTGTTTAAATAAAGTAATTTTGATACTGTTAAAAGTATGTTTTAAGTCACTGAGATCTAATTTGTAGAAGAATATCCACGAGGTGTCAGAAGAAATGCAGCTAAATTAATTTGTTGTCACAGTTTTTAAAGTCCTATCTGACACAAACTCTTCAGTTTAATTCTTTACGCTTGTTTTTGTCCGGTCTTCATGATTTTACAACAAGAAGCTTTAAAATTTTAACTTTGGTGTATTTTAAGTTTATCTAAAGGCAACAAAAGGGTGGCAGAAGAACAAAACAAAACAATGTATCACATTCTGTTGGATTTTGGGACAGATTTAAACTCAAACTCATCAGGCGCGTCCCGGAACACGTTGGTTGGACTTTCAAAATAAAACTAATCAACTCGACTTCACAACTGAGATGCAACTCCTGAAGAAGATTTCACAACAAAAACGGTGGTGAGTACCTCAGAGTGTACAGAAGTAAATGTTTAATCAATCGTGTTCCACGTGTTGCTTTACAAGAGACAGAAACTTCTCGTGTTAACGTAACGTTCATTTGGTTGCTCTTACTTTGAAATCGATGACCGGAACTTATGTTGTTTGCTAGCTTGATTGTTTCCGGTGGGCTGGGCTCGGTAATCTGCGACTGCGACGCTGTTCGGTTTTATTCAACCGACAACAAGATAAAGGATTCTTAAACCAAAAGATATAACATTTTTGGTAAACATAAGAAGTTTTGGCGGCAAAAAGACGTTTGTTTTCCAACTTCCGGTGAAGAAAAACAAACTGGTGAGTTTTTCCGTTCCGTTATTTTCTTTGTCTGCTCCTGCAGCGGGTTCTGCTAAAAACCATAAAATAACTAATTATCACTATAAATAAATATAACTTTCTTGAGTTTAAACTAACGAAAACATTATTGTAAAAAAATATAAGCACTTTCAAAAATTGTGGGGGCTTAAAATGAACAGTTTCTTCCTTTTCTCGGTTTTTATTCACAATAAAACCAAAGTAAAGAGCTATAAACTTTAATCTCTTCTACTTTTTTGAGTTTTAAACATTAATATTAGATCAAAACGAAACTCAAACCAGGCGTGTTTTATCACGGAAACATCTGTGCTGCTAAAAACAAATTTAAGTCTCAATTATTAAAATAAATTGGATAAAGTTATTAAAACATGCATGAAAGTTTGAAGCAGCTGCTTGGAATAAATGGAATATAAATATGTTTACAAATGTGTTAGTATGGCTATCGGAAAATATAAACATCTTACGTTTAAGTTTAATTAAAATGTTAAATAAATGAAATAAACCAGTTGGAACCGTCACGGAGCTGCTGCGTCTTTCACATTTCCTGCTGCGCGTTCTCCTCCAACATCAGCAGCTGCAAGGCATGCTGGGAAATGATGCTGCTGCAAGGCATGCTG